GTAAAGAGAAACTGTCCCAAACCCCTAAAAGAGACAATATACTAGGAGGGTCACAAGAAAGGAGATGGATTTACAACGATGTGCTTCAAGGGATGTGCCACGTCACCACCACCAGCATGCTTAACGAACTCTGCAGGCGATAGGAAGCTTCCATGGCACACACACACAATCCTCACCTCCTCACCTTTCCTGTACCGATACAGAAACCCATCTATCTTCTTCCCGTTCGGTCCGTCCCCTGTCGTTGACACGCATGGCATGTCTTCTATAATGTTTCGGACCGCCGAATTCTCGGGCGTTGATTGGGCACTCGAAGGGCTTGTTTCCATGGACTTGTTTGTTGTTGCTTCAAACACAAGCAAACATCTCAATATGACTCCAAAATAAAAGACAACACACAAGAGGTTGCAAGGCCTAGAAAGATTTAATAGTTTGGTATTTGGACCTTATCGATTATCTTAACAAGGCCTAATCCTAGATATACACTAGATCTTTCGATCATACCTAACATTGTACATTCTTAGAAGATTATGATTATGTACCCTAAACGCCACAGAGAATATCAAAGATCTAAACAAGACCTCCTACTAAAAGTCCATCTTGAAGAGGAATCAAATTTTAATCCAATTCAGTAATGTATGAAGGTACCTTGAACAGGAGGAGGGATGGTATCGAGTTCAGACAAACCAGAGGAACCACTACCAGAAGATCCAATAGATCCTTCTTCTAGAAGATTCTCTTCTCTTACTCCAGCTTTGTGTTTCTCCCTCACGTTCCTCTGTTTCTGTGATCTCTTCCGCTTTGCCTCGAGCCTCCTCAAACTCTGTAACTCCTTCCTCTTCCTCCACTCTTCCTCCGTCTCCACCGGCAACGAGCAAGTCCTGCTCAACCCTGATCTATCGTTGACCACGAAATCAGGTGTCGAAGAAGACCTCGTGAGCCTCGTCTTCGCTAGTGGGTCCACACCAAACCTACCGTTGAGAGAAAGCCCTAAGTCTAGCTCAATCTCTACCTCTCCATCTTCCATCATTCTCTCTTCCGACAGTTTCTGGTTTTTAGACATGAACCTCTGCAACAGATCCCTGGGGATTCGCCGTCGGTGGTTCTCTCCGTTTTCCCTTTTCTCACCTTCCGACATATTTTTGATTACAAGGAAAATCTGAAAAAATTCAACAAGATTCTTCTTAAAGCATTCAAATCCCAAGAAAAGAGCAAATATCAATTTCCCAAGATTCTATCGATTTTGCAAAGTAGAGAAAAAAAATGACGACCTCTCTCCTCTATATTTTCACTTTATT